GAAACTTTCTATCCTCTAGAATTTAGGATAGTCATAACTTTTAATTGTCGTATCTTTTAATTTTCATTTTTCATTATTTCGTATTAATAACTTTTCTCGAAACTTCAGAGACTCAAAGAAAAGCTAAAATTAATTACCTCAAAGTTCCCCAAAAGATATAAATGAATGTTGATATGGCGATCGTTCCGGAAACATAATTATTTTAGCAAAAGTATTATCCGCCCGCATCAACGTTTCTATATTCTTTAGCCTTATCAAGTAATCTACAAAATTTCACAACACGTTTAATAAGAAAGAAGAGATGAAATTCGCGATGAAGGAAAATGATTTTCTCGGCGCGATAACAAAGAGACCCGTTTCATTATAGTAACAAAATAGACGACCGTCTGGGGCCTCGCATTCGCAATGACCTCGCTAGATCACAACCAACACTTTAACCAAGAACCTTGTCGGTGCGATGGAAGCTTACCTAGTCTCATCGCGTTACACGCCGTCGCGTGAATAAACCGTAATTCATCGAGGCCAACCCCCGGCATCAACAAAATATCATGTGGACGCGATAAGAATATCTGCCATTTTGATCAGACCCACACGAAACCCGGGCAGCTTTCGGCTCATGGGATTTATTTCCCATTTCCGGCATGTCAACCGCGATTCAGATTGTAGCATCACCACGAAAACATTGAACCTTGACCCTTCCAAAACTATCCATTTCGTATTTGCGCTTGTACGTCACTGAAGAACAATGATTTCCCAAGGCACATTATTTTTGACAAGGCACAATCAAGTAATATTGACATTGCCACGAATAACTAACGTTGATTTGATCCTCGTATGAGATGAACGCTCATATTAGAGCAAAATTCACTAAGCTTGTTTATAGTTTTTTTATTATGATTGATTAAATTTCAATCCAATCTCAATCCTAATCCGTAGTGTGATACGGGATTAAAACTGTGTTGAACTGAAAAAGAAAAAACAACGCCGCGGCGCCGCACTAATCCAGTGATACAAGTACAGACGAGGCACGGCGTTGATACGAGGGCATTAACGCTTGCTGAACGAGGGCAATGGAGGGTTAAATGCTATCCGCCTTTGACGCTGAATGTAGGATATATATCCCGTGTAATGTAGAAGAGAATAAAGACGTAAAATTATCTTTTCAAATTATTACGAATATATCATACTACTAGAAACTTATTAGTAATTTTGTTGTTATAGAAAATATGATGCGATCAAAAACCCATGTTTTATTTCGACGTGCGCGTATATAAAGTCACGTTTCTTCATCAAACGTCGCGTCATTCATATATTTGGTCCCTCATGGCGCGCGCTGGCTTCGTGCATCGGAAAACCACATTACGCACGTGCTTTCATCGACGACGAAAAAATTTTATTCCGTCCACTCCGCTTTAGGTTTCAAGCCCCTGCAATGGCATACGACGCGACGCGACGTGCGTTTCCGTTGCCTGCACCTGGGCCACGAGAATTGCATTGCTGCGTCGATCGAGTCACGCAGTTCTCGTAAAACGACGCTCGATAATGGGCGCCGCGATGCGAAACGACCAACGTTAACGTTCTCGATGCACCCTGAAATTCGAATGCGTGGAGAAAGGCGATTGCGCCCTATGATTGTCGCATTCAATTCGAAAACCAACGATAAAGTTGAAACTGTGATAACTTGATTACGCACGCGGTGCGATGCACTCGGGTATCGATATACACGCATTATATTTTACTAAACGCGATATTTTATAAAGCGATGTATTAATCTGGTAATAAAATTCGGAAATATCGTTCGCATAAGTTGTAGCAATATTTCATGGCTATAATGTACGACATGTAAAAAATATATTTATTATAGATAGTACATATAATATGTAATATGTATATTTATTACTAAATATATTAAAAAGCATATATGCTTATTATAAGTATATTTATTATTAAATACACGGAGAAAATTTTATAGTAAATATTACTATGGTGTCGCACTAGCTGCGGACCATCGAGGAATTTTAAGGTAAAATACTATAATTATTGTTTTAAAAACGATAAAATAACGTAATTTTTACCATAAACATAGTAATTTTACTTAAAATTCCTCGATGGTCCGCAGCTAGTGCGACACCATAGTAATACTTACTATAAAATTTTCTCCGTGTATATTTATTATAGTACTTATGTAGTAATATGTCATCAATAATATAAGATGTTTTTTATAGCAATACAAAGAAACTCTAATCTTATGATTGTATTATAATACTGTCATTATAATCATTATAATATTACCATTATAGCTATATCAATTATAGTTAAAGTGAGTGGATAATAATGAAGATTTGAATGCATCTACATAAAACTCAGAATGCGCAAGACCATCCAAGAGACCATGTTGAGAACCTAACCATGTTGAGAAATCATTTATTTCTTCCATAATAAATCTTATCAATCTGACGAAATATCGATGTACTTCAAATGATATTTTATAATTCATATATGTTGATAGCGAAAACAGTCCAACTCTGTTGGCGTCATTTATTTAAATAATAAAACGTCTATCAAAATCTCTACGTTTGTCATTTTTACGAAAAAGATCGGACATTTGAATTTTTCGCAGTTAATCCACAACATTCACCGTAAAACATAATCGAAAATTTACTTCTGCGCCAGAGTTGCAACTATGCACAACTGTGCCATTTTAAATGTTTATATGCTAATGATTTATGCGATCTTAACGCCAGGTTACGGCTTTTTCTGTTTATCGTCCGCAATATGCGCATTTTCCCGTTGTATATACTGCTGTTATACGCTATCTATTCGGGGCCAATCGAACATTTGCATTGCAACATTTGCACAGGAACACAGGATATATTACAATCAGTTACGATTTTTTGGAACGCGTTCTAGCATCGACATTTTGAAGCGTGAGAGATTGCAAAAAAAACATGACATTAGATATATGATAGTGTAATAATATAATGATATTAGCAATTAATATTACTGAGGCTCCCATTATATTGGGTGTAAAAAATTTTTCAAAATGTTTAGTAACAATATAATTTCTAATTAGGTTAATGGAAAAAGATATGTACACATACGCCGTGGCTTGCACAGCAAGATTTACTAAATAAGAGCATGTTATAAAAATGAAATTTTTTGTATTTTAATTTTTTTCAGCTATCTTCCTGAAATACGTGCCAAATACATGCAATGTTTCAATCAGCTACAATAAAAAAAAAACAATGTTGCAAAATAACTGCGTTTATAAATAATTGCTGCGATTAATTAATTTTCGTAAAATTACATTCGCTCATAAAGTGTGAAGAAAACGTAATTAAATTTTGTAAAAAAAAAAGATTTTTATTGCGTCCAATTATGGCACCAATTTTCACATGCCTATTAAAGATTAGCAAAGGACAGCCTGGATAGCACATCGCGCAAACCAGTATAAACGGTGTTGCAACGAAGAATGTTACAAATACTGACAAAGCTGACAGGTAATCTATCATTCTCAAGGTCGGATAATGTGTATAGTGCATCGTGTACAATTCCCTGTAATCCAATTACCGCTGCGATAAATTACAATCACGTAGAAGTATCAACGTCACGCCCCGCGATCTACTCAATTGCGACGCGATCGAAGTCTAAGGCTATCAACAGATGATACCTGTATATCTTTCACAAATTATTTTAGGCGATAAGAAGCCATTAACAAAGAATAATTTTAACAAAACATTATATAGCAAAGTTCTTTTTTCGCTTCTAATTTTTTATCTCGATTAAAATTCAACTTAATATTAATCCAGTTAATCGTGAATAAATGTTTTATGATTTATTATCTACTTATGTAGGTAATACTAAATTTGTTTGAAATCTTTGATTTGCAATGCCGCAAATATTTTTATTATTAGATGTTTTTAAATTTTTAATTAACTGGAATCGATCGTGAGTTTCATAAGAAATTGGTATTGTTGAAATAATTTTCGATATAATGAACTTTTTTATTACCGCTTGAAAAATATTTTTCACCGGTGTCACAAAGAGATTAAGCTATAGATATAAAAGCTTCGAGAACAAAATCCTCTACGCCCGACGCACAAACCCGTGCATATTTATTTCATTTTTTTTTTTCGCACAAAAACGGCACAAAACCGCGACTATTTTGCACGACGCAAAACTATCATGGCAACCTACAATTAAAACGGCAACAAATTACGAACTTGCATAACTCGCTTACGGTGTAAACCGCACGTTTTAACTTATTAATTAAAATCACACGTACGTCGCCTCGTTTGAACAATTTTACAACGATTTTCACGCGGACTTTTTGCGAAAATAATTAAAAAGTCAGCTCCTTATATAATTAAAGCTACATAAAACTTGTTTGAATTGTTTCGGAGCAATATAAGAAGTGGTATCGGAGAAATAAAAAGTGTAGGTATAGAAAATTATATAAATGTCAAATTTATAAAATTTGAAAAACAAAGAAAGATCTTTCCGATCTAAAAGAAAAAAACGTTTCTTCCTTACGTGACTTGAAGTGTTACATAATCCTTCGATGAATATAAAGCATTTAAAATAAATTACCTTCTGTCTGTGCTCTCTAATGGCAAATACAAATCAAAATACAAATATAAATATCTCCATGCAATCCCTGTAAAAACGTGACTAGTATAGATTGCTATGGGACGTGTCGCACTTTTCCAGTTTCCAACAACCGAGAAACGTGGGAGGAATAAACAAGCCGGCACGATACTACTGTTGGCAAGTGAAATGTCAACAATTGAGATTGCTTCCCCAATTTAACTCCGACCGATCAATGCCAATAATTTTACAATGGTAAATCAATCATATCGCGTCAAATAAAATATTTACATGCTCTTTCCGTGATAAATGTAAAAAATTCATAATTTTTTATAGTTTTCATACATTCACCTACGTTCAAAATAAATGTAGTCTTCCAATAAGTAACACCCCTCGTTTCTTCTGTATTTCAGAAAAATCGATACGAGCCCGGATCACATATCGGATGTCACATTCAGCAGTCAAAGGTAATATGTTATTTGATTTGATTATAAATAATTATTATGAATCGTATATAATCTTTTCACATTATATCTCATTTTTGTAATTCTAATGAAAAATTAGTAAAGTATCAAAAAATACTATTTGTATAACACATGCATCTGCTATACACTGCACATTTATATTTTTCACATATAATTTTCTTTACCTTTAAATATAATAAACGATTTTTATCTTATATTTAAATTTGTTATTTATTATTTAGAAAGAATCTTATCTTTTATTTAGAATCTATTATCTTAATTTATTATTTATAGAATCTGAATTTAGCAAACTAAAATCGTGACGAAAATTTCTCAGAAATAATTACTGTAAATAACAAAAAACGCAACAAACTATCTAAATTCACATAATGCTCAACAAAAATGCATGGTGATAATAAGAGCTGATAGTTAATAATTTATAGTTTTAATATTATTTAATACACACAGCTCTAACAAAAATTTAATATAGATACGCTTACCTATGTATCTCATTTATACAATATGATTAAAAGCTGGAAAATTGAATAATTAAAGTCATGAAAAATCCTTGATCCGATTATTCTGGGCGTATTTGTGGCTTATTCGGTGGGAAGAGGAAAAGTATTATTGGATCTTCAAGGTCTGGATAATTCGCTTAAAAAAGTCTAAAGGGATGATACCTTAAATACATAGAATTTGACCATTTTACACAGTGACAAAGAGGAAAACTTTTTTCAAGTAATGTTATCTGTTTTCAACGAAAATATATGTAAGATAGTAAAAAAATCGTAAACGCGCAAAGTTTTGGTGTCAGACTGCATATACAAATGCATACACGGTAAAAAACATTTTGTATTTTGTGTGGATTTTTCTACCGGCCGTGTAGAAATTTTTGTGTTAAATTTTTAACATATATACTTGTATTAATTCAATGCGTTTTTTCAATTGAATTACTTGTAAAAATTCCTATGAAAATGGGTTTTGCGATACAACTACCTTAAACAAAATAGAAAAAAAATATCTAGTTCAATCAAGGCATTCGATTCTGTTTCAAGTCAAAACATTTTAGCGAAAAACTTTCGCTTCGAATAAAAGTATAATTGTTTTTCTCTCTGAACTCTATGCTTCAGACATTTTTTTATTACACGCATGTTTTGGACGTACGTTATATTTCACGCTTTTAAAAAATGCTTCTATTATTTAACTATTCAGTTGTACAACTTGCTCGTTCGTATTTTATTTTGCTTTGAAGCGCGCATTTCTGTTTTTCAGCTGCATGTCACTTGTGCTACCGAAACACGAAAAAACAATCTAAAACGCGATAAAATAAAAATCTTTTTTTTTATTCGGGGTTATTCAATGTATGCCTATAGTCTTACTGACAATAGTAACAGAGTCAATCCTATATAAACATATGTTTATTAACCTTAAATGCCACCCGGGGTCCAGCGGATCCCAGACCCTTTAGAATGAAATGTTTTCAAATATTCTTGCCAAAAATGGAGCTCATGCTCCCATTGATGATAGTTGAGTGATTGACCTACCCGTTTGTACACTTAGCAGTACTCTGCAGTTTACTTAATTTTTTATACTATGTTGAAATTGAAATTTTAACAATATAAGCATTTTATTCTCTTTTCTAAGCCTTGAACAACATTGAAAATAATTTTCATAACTAAATATAAAAAAATCAATAAGTAAGGAGACATTTTAATATGACGATCTTTTCTTAAAGATAACATAAATTCCGCTATCGTTTATTTATACTTAATTAAATAATATTAAGGGAGAGAAAATTCCACACTGATGCGAGAAAAAAGCATCAAAAAGAATTTCAACTGAAAACATCTAATAGAATCTCCGTGAAATGCAGTCAGTTCGTCGTAAATCTTGTTCTAACGCGCCGTGACAAGCAAGCATCTTTCAAACACTTCTACAATAAGTACTTATACGTACAACCACACCGGGTAAAGTTTGATTAATACGCACGGTGGTTTCAGACCTCGTATTTAATTTAAAAACAAGATTTCCGTCAAAGTAACGGGATAAAATGCAGTACAGAAAAATCTGTTTCGGAGTTTAATTTAAAAAACGTTACAAATACCATGAGCATTCTAAGGTAGATTTGCATTAATTAACGTCTCGCTTCGTTAGAAAGATCGCCAGTAACGCTTAATGACACGCACACCATAAGATATTGATCGCAAATATTATGCAATCGTACGTACTAAAGTATCGATCGTTAATGTTAATCCTCCTATTTCTGCCAATATTCTTGTTTATTGTTCGACAATTATTTAAACTTTAAGCACAAACTTTAATTTTGAAAATAAAGCTAAATTCTTTTAATTTTTTTTTCTATTTTGTGCATTGAGAAAGATTAACAATGAATTGGTAAAGACTAAGGATCTTGCAATCAGTAATTAAAGATTTCAATTTTACTTTGTCCTACTAATATCAAGCATAATACGCATACGCACACAATAATGTAGCCTAAATTCATTATCTACCAATAAGCCTAGAGAGAATGTAATCTTAGTTGCCATTCTCGAATGCGTACTGACACAAACGGCATCATCAGGGCACTTGAGATAAGAGTCTTAGCTAACTATTATCAACTAACCGGGATGCCAAACATCGTTGTTAAATTAGTACAAAAGTCGTTAAATATCACAAAGAGCGGCCCTAATTATGCGAAGCAAAATGCAGACAAATAATTCCACGAACACGAATCATTAATTTTAATTACTTGTTGCTTTTGAACGATTATTCGAATAAATTCGCAAAGCCGATGATCAGCAAAGTCATTGTTAATTGCTGTCGCGTATTAAATAATAGAGAGGATGATAACGCGTACGTGGGTGCGCTTTGTACAATCATTATCTCGTGAAAAAGATGCCAAAATCAAATGCGTATCTTGTTGTAGCAATACAGTCGATCGCGTTTAAATAAGCATATTTATTCAGCATACGCGAGCGCATTACGCATTTGACGATGTGCCACTGTCTATAGTAACTAATGAATGCAACTGATATCGAGCGGCATGCAGGCACGCAGGTAAAATCCCGGTAAAATTGATAGCTCGCTTGATAAATGTTAAAGGGAATAAAGCGGATCAAACCTACGTCAATCCGTATTACAATCAGTAGTAACTGCTCTAATTGTAAGCCAGAAGCGACTTCGCCATAAGATGAATTAATCGATAAATTGTCTCGAACAAGTGCAAAGACTCTCGACACGCTGAGACAACAAACTAATGATATAATGAATCTCTGCCGAAAGTTTTGATAGATTATAGGATTTGCGATACTTCTGTGAAAAACATCGCGTTAGCCTTTCTGTACATCCTTTATGTATCCTATTCCTTATCTACTTTATAGATTGTTGTATTTTATACAAAAACTGTATACCGTGTACAAATTTAATTTTCTAGCTGCTACGCGTCAGTATAGTGGTTTCCCACTAATTTGATTCCTTAGAACGAAACGCCACTACAGTTTTTCACTAAACGCTTTTTTCAGACAAAATGTCACATTAGTGACTCTTTTTACGTCTCGTCGTTATTAAGAATGTCCAATCGCATTCCGCAATTGACCTGTGCATACAGAACGGTACGGCTCCGCATCAGCCATAACCAAAGGATTTTAACTCTCATTAAACATTTTTTTAGATGCAAAAGAAGACACTGTGTCTTTTTGTTTTTGAATGTTCAAGCTACAAATCCAATGAATAAATTTGCATTTACAACACATTTCGTACGTCATCGCAGCATTAAACCCTTTCTAACTTTTCTTCAACTGAAACGAAGAATTATATGAATTTTAATATTCTACGAAATTTAATTTAAATACTATTTGGATCTAATCCTTCAAATTTATCTTCTTTTAACATAAAATATTTTCTGATCTGCAGGGTATACAAGAAAACCTCGCCGAATAATAAATTGACACTTTACTTAGCCAGCAGAGATATTATCGTCAGTGAAGCCATCAATGACAACAAACTTCTAGGTGTCCTCTTAGTTGATCCCGACTATGTGCGCGAAAAGAAGGTAAGATATATATCTTCGTCTTATGAAACAAAACGAATTACAAATGTTTCTTTTTTTTAATACCATTTTATAACTGTTAGAATGTTTATCGAAAAGACACAGTCACATACAAAATATAAATCTAGTAAACCCCTTTTTACAACTTGTTTTCAGAACTGTATAACATTTACAAGAAACTCGATATATATAAAAAAAAAACTGCTGGGACTAAGACTATCGAATCTTGAAATGTGAAGTTCAATGACTGAAATAAGCTTTTCGAACTCATAAAGCATCTTACTTAGTTATAAGTAATGTTAAATCTACTGGAAAGTTTCTTCTGACGTATCGTTCGATCGGAGTTAATTAAAGTTGGATTGTGAGCGATTCCAATTCTCACAATATAGAAAAGGAAAAAAAGATGAAGGATTGGACTATACCATATTTCTTGTGCCAACATCTTGACACGTTCGCTTACTCATTTTCAATGAGATAATGTATCTTGGAATATTCCTAGTACATTTAAACACATATTTTACGTACACACAACGGCGTTTTAACATTTGTAATTTTTTTTGTAATAATCTCCGACGGAATGTAAAAGAAGAATTTTTGTAATAAAATAATTTAAGTCAAAAGTTGTAGATTCATCACGATTATGTACATATTATTCTAAAAACAAGCCGAATTGTTTTTTTTTTATAGGTATTTGGTCAGGTGACGCTGACTTTCCGTTACGGAAGAGAGGACGAAGAAGTAATGGGCTTGAAATTTTGCAACGAGGCGATGATGTGTCTGGCCCAACTGTACCCATCCTACGTGGGAGCTCATCATCTGGAAACTAAGAGCCCATTACAGGTTGGTATGCAAATTGTTACAACAAAATCGACCATCACTAGTCACAGATTACGACATAGGGTAAAGATGGCCAACCTATACGTTCTTTCAATCTAGCTCGCCATGAAACATCGGATGAACATGGGTTGGCCATCTTTCCTGTATGGCCATCTTACCCGGGTTTACCCTACTAATGCAAGAATCGCACGTTCTCGTTAAATATTATTTCTAAAATAACGATTTCTTTTTTTATTTTATCATTTTTTTCACTACACAATGTATTATATTGAAAGATCTCGAGCTTGAAAAATGTGAGCGAAAATATCGGTGATAAGTAATTAAAGAAAATAAATTCACGAATCAGTTCGTCGTGAGTCGCGGCGATTTTCGTACGATTTTAGTACCCGCTATTCATATACACATGTTGAAACTCGCATCATCGTTACGAGCACAGATGTATTCATAGCGTGTCTTAACTGCGCGACGTGAAATATAGACCAATATACTTCAAGGATTTAGGTTACAGTATAAGTGCAATTTATGCTTTCCTTGATTAAACTATCGCTGTGTGTAGAAACTGTGATTTGTAGGAACTCCATAATTAGTCCGACCGTCCTGTCTAACGATACAATGATTAGGATATCGATATAATAATATCGTCGACTGTACTTAATAGAGAAATAAGTATGCACACTCTCTCAACTCACTACACGATTACAGAATTTCAAGCACCCTGCATTTCGCGATGCACTACGCTGCAATTTCGAAGCAATGCATTTCGAACAGGACATTGGATGCAATCAGGGGATGTCTCGGCACTAGTAGATATTGATAATCTCCCTAAGCACTTTGCAAGAAAGATGAAGACGGTGAAATGATAAATGAATTTCCGACTACACAAATCGTATTATATCTTCGTCAAACTTTATTATGCGAATGAAAACTCCTTAATTATCTTCGTGCATTCTAAAAGCAACCTGATTTAATTTCAAACTTTGAAGTGGCATAAAAAAAAATCTTCGTATAACAATAAATAAACTAACGTAAAATATACATTTTTGTGTCTATAGCATGAAAAATTTAATCAATCGAAAATATACCGGTTAAAATATATACCTAAAAAATATCGATCACACAACAAGCGATTTAAAACACTCACGCGATATCGAATATATCACGCTATATTGGGAACGCTCAATCACGTTTCCGTATCGAGCACGCAAAACTATTTTTGCGAACTGCCAATTAAATCTCGCAACTTCAAAAGCTGTCTCGCTTATTTCTTTGCCGCGTCTGATTTTTATAGGCACACAAATCGTACGCGTAACCGGTCCCGCGAGCGAAATTCAGCGCTACGCGATCATAAAATTTTGAATTCGGGTACAACGACATCGCTGATTGCGCCATCATCCTACAATGCATTCTGGTTTAACGTACAGAGAAACAAAAATAATTTTATGCTTTTAAGTTAACCTTGCAGGAACGCGATAAACAAACGTTGCAAAATTTGAAACGGAAAAAATATACAAAATAATAAAGCGAAAAATAAAAGACACAAACATTAATTGTAAAAACAAACAGATTCCTTTTGGAATCATACTAACTGATTCTTTAGATATTTCTAAATTGGAAAAAATATAAATAAACTTGCTTCTATTTAATGTAATATAATTCTTCTGTATGATAAACAATTAATGATTAAACTCAATACATATTAGAACTATAGAAACTGTTAATGAACAATACCGTATTGAACTATTTATATCATAAGATCGATAAAAGAGTAAAAAAGCATTAAAAGACTTTTAAAATAATGTGTCACTTAATCCCTGTTGCCATTTAAGATTGCCATTTAAGAAAGAGTTGCTTTCCCGCTTAGGGGATTAGTTCCAAGTAGGTGAATTTATGACGAAGACCTGTCTCCCTCGCAAATCGACTTATCTCGGAGTTTTTCGGAAAAATCGCTAGATTCTAAAATAATCCTGGTGGACACTTTTCGTTGGGACACCCAATATACCCAATATACCCAATATACCCAAATACCCAATAAAGCAAATTGTAAGTGAGATTTTAACAATATTTTCACAATTAGTTTTCGACAATACGATTTATTGCAACGCATTAATCTATAACGTCTTAAAAAGTCTCGATGTTATGAAAAACTAAAAGGAACATGAGAGATCAGAGAATTTCTCTGATCTGTATCTGAATCACATTTCCGAACGGAGCTATCCTGCAACTAATCCCCATTCCAACTATACCATAAACCTAACCATCTCCACTCCAACTAAGCATCTCATCGTCTTGCAGGCAATTAATATTAATACGGCATAAAAAAGATAAATAAGGCTTTCATATGGTATTTCTCAACAATGGTACATCGAAATAATACGGTGCGAAATAAGTTCTTTGATTACGCTTGACCAATAAGAACCTATCGCAAACGTGTCACGTTTGTATCAACTGGATACTTTCTGGATATCTTGACGAGGGTAGATGTTGGAGGAGACCGAAATTCTCTGTGAAACTGAAGAACCCATAACGCACTGTCAAAGCCATGTGAAAAATTCTCTTCACGAGCGAAACTAAAAAGGATCAACCGGTGAAAATCTCTTTGCAGTTTTCATAACGTCAAAACACGTCTCTTGTAAAATTATAAAAAGTGAGATTTCTATCGGATTTAGCTACACTGAAAAATTATATATCTTAGGTCAAACAAAGACTAATGTGATCAACGAAACCATAATTACTTAGAAGATATTAAACTACAATTTACTAGATAATCTCCTTGTAACTATCACTGCCGCAAATATGTACAAATAATATTGATGTCAAAATAAAATCCTGTGACTATAACTTTAATATAGATTATATAAATCAGTGACTCTATTATTTAAACTTACAATTAGATACAAAAATGATATTTTTCATCATGTATTAATAATACGCCGACGTAATTAAAGTAAAGTAAGGCCTTTTTAAAAGACCTAAGTTGATCTTGTTTCACATTAAAATAACTACTGACACGCTCTTTTATCACAGCGCACAATTAACCAGCTAAAAATGATATTCGTACGCACGAAGTATTTTTCGTAAAAATAAGAGATAAATTCGCGAATATATTATTGGAAAATCTCATGTAAATTATAAAATCGTCAAATATACGTTAAATATGAATACGTATCTCTTTTTCAAATATTATTTTGTATAATTTTCATATTAATTTTCGATGTACCGTGAAAATGGTTTAACAAAAGTCTGTTTCAATCACGTTAATTATTATTAGATATGATGTTCATAATATTACACAATGTACATTTACACGATAAAATCCTTTGAAAATGCAGATATATGAATGTACATTGCTGCAAAATAAATTCATTTAGAAAATTACCATTATCCGATTAATGAAAAACAGAGAAAGGTGACGTAAAAAGTTTTAGTAAAACAAGATATGTGCAATCACGTGAACTGTCACGCAAAATATTGAAAAATATATACATATTTCTCAATTCGAGAAAATTTCAAGTTATATCTAGTATTGAAAAAAGTAGGATATCACCGCAGTTGTCTCCAGGACACAATGCCAGCCATGGAGTGCATTGTAAAAAAATACTTTGACAAATAAAATACACATAAACATGTAATTTTCTTACTAGTATCGTATTTGTCTTATAATATTTATCGCACATATAAGATCGATGCTTTATTTTTGCTCTTGAATAAATTAAAAATCGCTAATGATCAAATCTAAATTTGTACCTAATTTCCATAATAAAATCATAATGTATAGACAGTATAGGTATAATACTATACTATACTGCCATTTAGTTAAACAAAATTCACGGATTTTATTACTATACTATGTATATTCTTACAGATAACTATTCTCCTTCGAATTTCAAGTAAAGTTCATTTTAAGAAATTTTTAAATAGAGACGTGGTTCCAAAAATACACGATATCAAAAATTGCAATAAATGATAATATTGATAATCTTCCTCGATATTTTCACCAAGGAAAAATTGATCCCAAATGTAGTATAAATATATTCCGCGATATATTCTTTAAGAATATTTACTGTTATTCACAAAATTGCCAATTCAGGTCAAAATTGCGTATTATCGGCAGCGATCGATAATGTCAAAAGAATGCTACGATTGAATTTTCGTTAAGGACTAGGGCTCTCGAAGGAAAGTGGAAAATCTGAAATCTTCGCCAAAGAATCGCGTTCGCCAAAGGAAATCTGAAATCTTCAGCGGAAGAGCACGCTACTCCTCGAGTACGCTACAAAATCATTCCCCGCGGCAACGCGGCCTTGACCTCGGCCTACGACAGAAGGTTTCGCAGGCTGCCGTGAAAATTATTTATCGCGCCCTCGGCTCTTCCTACGTGAGCATTCGACAATGAGCGCGATCTCAATTCCAGGATCGATCCGAAGATAAACGCGACATGCACAGAAAATGCCTTGCTACCTCAAGAGAGAAACTGCATCGGGCGAATAAAAGCACGCGAAATATCGGAAACACATACACATGCGTTCAGCCATCTGATGGAAAGCGCTGTCTGTGTACGTTACACTGGAGGTAATCAACGCGATGGAATTTTAAAGACTGATCGCGTTAGGCTTATCGAGAACGAAGTCGCGGCATTGCACTCGAAAGAGAATAAAATTGTGACGATGCGTACAAATGTTGCCCGTTATAGAATATCAAGGGGAAAAAAAAACTTTCGGGTCACGTTGAACGTCAAAATGTCACGAGTTCCATGCATGTGTACATCACCGTATTTCCCTCTGCACGACAGACGGTCGGCAAGCCAAAGAAATAAATTGCAGTTAGCCACGTTCGGGGACGAAAAAAAAAATTCGTGAAAATACGGCCAGAGTATGTGTGAATGTCGCTTTTTTTCCTTTTTTATCAGCGAATGCGCTTCCCTGTTGATCAAGCCCCACAATAACCGCGGTGAGATAACAGTTCTCCAAAGCGGCGAGACATAAAATGTAATTAATATTCATTCCATTTCTACATTTCATAAATATTGTTACTTTTATCCACGTTTCAAGCTCATCATAATTATGATAAAATAATAAAAATGTTACGCCGCACAAAAACTATCAATAATAATTACTGATACATGAACTCCGTTAGCGTTTTAATCAAGCCACGACTTTGAAGATAAGAAAGGTCTGTCGGAAAAGAACTTGGGGATATTTCTGCGGTATAAAATCGGAACTTCTCTCTCAGAGAAGGATACGTCGAATCAATATGCATTGTGAGCTTGTTGTATGCACATTCCACGAAAGGAATCCTTGTTGAAATAGGTCATGATATAAGAGGATCGGTCGAATTTCGAATATCACAGAAAATACATAACCAATGCTCATTAATATGTGACTTGAATATTTCAATAGCAGCACTTACGGGAAACATAACATGTGCACCATGATAACGCATAACAACGCATCATTCTATGCTATAATCTATCCAAAACCGACGTAATTATGCTAATACGATACGTAATATTCATTAGAACAAATAATATTAATACATTATCATTCACGAATGGTTCATACGTTTGTTATCTTACAATTAGTAAACAATAATTTGAAATAATAGCGATATATATACTACTGCCTCCAAGTATCTTTATATGTAGGTATTATTGCTTGTTTTGTATTTATTTTTTATCTGGACGTTTTCTAAAGTCATATTATCTTGTTGTAAAATACAGATTGCATATTCCTATATTTAGAAACTATTTTGGTAAACCAAAATTGAAAATAGTTATGTTTTCCATATGACAATATAATTTTTTAATTAAATTTATGTTTTTTAATGAAGGATTTTATATTTGGTAATAAAATTTTAACTTTGACAAAAAAAAATGATTTTTCAAGTAATCGATATGAGATATAATCATTTATATAAATCCACCATTTTTCTCCTTCCCGTATATTCCACAAATAATACAATCAACGAAAAAAGGATTTTGCTTCAATGATACTCAACTGTTCCAAATTCTTACATTCTTCCGAAGAAAATTAGAATCGTAAGTACTTCGGCACTCTCGAATCTAAATCCGTATCTCATGATCGTATTTCCTTCTTCATTCAAGAACTCCGAACGATAGACGCGTACTTTACATCGCGTTTTCTTTATAATAGTAAGTTCATCACGTTGAATCTTAAAATAACAGCATTGTGAAAAGACGAGAGAGATTCCTAAACTCTAAAAAAAAAATCAGGTAAAATGTCGTAACTGGATTTGACCCTCGTCTGGCAAGGAACTGACCTTGGCATTTTCCGCATTTTCCTTCGCGAAGATAGTATATCCTTCGTTTTATTATCACGCGCGCGTTCACGCGTACACCGCGCCGATTCGCTATCGCGAATCCTTGAACTGATGGAACAGAAAAGCCAGTACGCGCTGCCTCCTAATCCGACTCGGAATTATCTTTGTGCGCAGATGTTCCTTAGACACGGTACTTACAGTGACTCGAAGGACGCGGGGAGAGAATCAAATTTAAACCGAAAACAAATATACGTACGTTATACGACATTATACTTTCGTATAATTCGAGAGGAAGTGCGAAAGCGAGGTGTACAGTAACCCATTATTATCATGTTAATGAGGTACTCCTTGACAAATTTAAAACCGATATTTCAGCTAAACAGTCGAGGAAAATCATCATTTATCATAAATGTCAAATTGTCAATATTAAATATCAATAATGTGTGTTGACAACTGGACACAATTTACACAAATTTGTTGTAGTAGAGATCATTTGAGTTTAAAATAACGATTAAAGTGTTATTTATTTTTTAATGCCTGGAAAAATCGTTTATTTTTCAGTCGTATATTTATTTATATTTGACAGCTATATTGATGTTCCTCGATATTTAAAAAAAGATCAATTTCAAAACTGTCTATACGTATTCATTGCTATTAATGTGCGATTTAAACATGCGATAGAATATTTTCTCTCTAAATTCCTTAATCCCACGAGCATACGGTGAAACCGTATGCAAGTGACATATATGTCACTTTTCCAAAAAGATAATTACGTTGATGATTGCTACGCTTGGGAATTTGAACTACGTAATTACTGGTGCTAATGAATGTCTTTTAGGAAAAAGAACGAACGCAAGACTCCTTGCTTGAGGCGATAAAAAAAGAAACTGTTGACATCATGCACATGTGTAACACTTGAAAGTGCCAAGGTTTACTTCTGTCATTTAAATTTCGGAAAACATTTTCTTTATGTTTACGAATCGCTTAATTTTGATTAATTTTAACAATTAAAATTGCCAGAGTGAAGAATAGTATAATATCATAGCAAACCTTTTAGATGTGTTTCATTCAATCATCGCATATAAAACAAATGTTATATAACAGCGACAATGTATTTATGGATTTATGCCAATTTGCCGTATCCAATATGTCAGTATGTCCGATTTTCACGTAAAATTTTTATTTTTTGTTATGTACGTCTAGTTTACAACACATTTGAATTAATTGGAATATGAAAAATGGTAGAATATTTATTTTTAAAATATGTAAATCATATATTACACCTAAAAAGGTATGCAAATTGTATATTAACCTTTAAAGAACGGGCAAGTTTTTTTCATGACTTTTTATGATTTTTATTTCTAATTTCCATATATTTGTTAAAGTGTTTATACTAAGAAAAATAAACGATCCTCGTGAAGCCTAAAAATAGGCTTCCCGTCCTCTAAATATTTTGAGTACGTCTTTTTACTTGTATATATACAATTTCTCTATATAAAAGATTATTTGAATTAAATTCACATTTAAAATATTGTATAAGCTCGTACAAAACAAATCTTTTGAAGCATTTTTTTTTTTTACTTTCTACTTCTCGAAATCGATTCACAAAAATTTTAAGTACTTATGGACGACAATTTTTAACGCCCATCTAAAGATCAATTTTCATATTTCATTTTGTAATTCGGTAATCATATCCATAATACTCATGCATACTTACATTTACAGATCCGCAAAGTTCTCGATGGCATTATTATTCACTTGAACATATATAAATACCTAATTAGTTATGTTTAATTTTGATAATAAATCCGCAGAATAAATTGATGTTTATTTATATATATATATAAATTCGAATATATATACATATATAATATAATCAGCTATTTTTTTATTTAAAAATGAGGATGACAGTGCCTTTGTAAAAATCGCATACGTGATATTTCATACGTATAATAAAATTTATATTGATAAATATCGATGTGGCAAATTAACAATATTTGTTGTTTTCATAAATGTTATTTCAAATATATAATACGCCTCGCTGAAAGTTTTTTCAGCATTTTATTTTTCAATCTTTATCCTCGTTGAAAACTTTTTAAATGAAAGATCGTTATATAGCATCCCGGCCTTTTATTCATGTTTTCAATATAATGTACTTTATAAAATATATACAACAGAATATAGAACGTATGATAATCTATATTCCGCGTATAAAATCTCAACAAAAAAAATCCTGCAGATTATCGATAAATCTCCTTATCTTCAATATAAATACATACATGAACAAGAATTTGAAATTTCTTTAAATCAGAAATGTCGCTTAAATAAAAGCTCTTTTCAACAACATAATACAGATAGCTCTATTATAATTTTTTTATGTACGTTTAAAGTAGATGCGCGTAATCAAAATATTTTTCTAACGTGTAAATGGTGATTGTTCGTATCTCCAAATTGCGTAAAAATATTTTCTTTTCGTCGACTCTATCTCGACGAGAAATCTGTATACGAATTATCACGTCGTGGAGGAGCGCCACAATTTTTCTAACAATTACCTAATGGAAAGTGCAAAGAGAAATTGAAATATATTGAACCGAGACCTTTCTTTTTACAGGAAGCACTTATCAAAAGATTAGGACCTAATGCACACGCGTTCACCATAGAAATTCCCTCATTCGCCCCACCATCCGTGCAACTGGTACCAGCTAAAGAATACAATGGCCCACCTATAGGTAACAGCTACGACGTCAGAGTTTACGTTGGTGAGTGAAAAAAGCTTGTCGATTTTCTCGGGGTTTATTTCCTCGGTCTCGACGAATGCACGTATGCACTTCGAATAAAAGACAATGGCGTACCGCAACTCGAAGCGAGGTGTAATTACGAACGTTCGTGAACGAAGTAGGAATAATAAATGTATTTACGAACGAAGGGAATGTATTTTCCATCTCCCGGGCACACAATTACGCAGGAATAAGAATTCGAAGCATCTCTATCGAACAACAGAGGACTTTCTGTTCACAGTCGATGGCGTGGATTGAGGCGTGGAAAAAATAAACATTTCTTAATAAATTCCTCATAAAAGATTTTAAAATTTATTTCTGTTCCAAGTATTATATAAAGCCATCTCAAATAGTTCTATAATTAGTTTCTTAGAGTGCTATAGAGTTTCTATTATATAAAAACCTTCACTCTTACAAGAAAACGTGCGGAAGTGTCCCCCTGCTCCGATTTTGATGAGCTTTTAATATGTTGCTTTCTAGACGAAAATAAGGAACACGTATTTTTTTATACGTGCTCATACGCATATTTAGTATGAAATACCCCTTCGAAAAAAATCGGCTTTTCTCTTTCGGGACGAATAAAAAAAAATATATATATATATAAAAGATAGAAAAAATTTTTTTAAACAAAAATCGAATAGTTTGAAGAGCACTTTAGAATAATGACAAAATAAATTTTTTTTATTCTTATTAAAAAATGAAAATTATTTTAAAGTACTCTTCAAACCATTCAACTTTTGTTTAAAAAATTATTTTTCTATCTTTTATAGTTTCAGAGATATTCGGCCCAAAAGCACTACAAAAAATAAGTGTGTTTGACGTGCGTTTAACGTGTGTGGAAATAAAACATAATAGGCTTGTGTTGATATTACACACTGCAACGCACATAAGCGTGTAGTTTCAACATAGTTAGAAGGTGCAATGTACACACTTTCTCGAAGCAATATCAGCAACACGTTAATTCGAACACACATAAAGCGTGTTGAATCAATACGCGCAATACTATTTTATACATATTCTACGATGCGACACACGTTGATAATAACACACGAGTGAAAATAACACGGAAAAAAGTAACACAGTTTAAGCGTGTTAAGGAGGTTGATTGCCGTCTGCCCAACTACAATCACGCAATAATTCCTAAGAAAAAGAATAACTCTTGAATCTAAAAATATATACCAAGTCTTAATTTCTAACATAAATTCAATAGCAATATATTTTTCCCGAAAGATCTGTTCAACTATTCGCGACGATAAATTCGTGAATTGACTCGCGTTTACCATGCACCAGCTTTATATCCCATCGTTAACATTTCGGTGAATTTTAGCGGAACGGGCGGACGAACGATTGCATCGTAAAACCACCGTCAGAATGGGCATTCGAGTGATTCAGCGAGCCAAGAAGCCGCCCTTACCCTCGACGACTATGTACAGTGTGCCTCTCTCTCAAGAACCATCAACTGGCTCGAGAATTCAAGAATCCAAAACAAGAGTGGCGTTAGCGGAAAATGAGATCATTGAGGACGATGGTTGGTCACGATTAACGAGACACGACGTACATTATTAACATAGATTCACTTGTCATTAAACTTCAAGCTCTAGTTACTGCTATTCCCATGTCACATCTATAAGTATATACCTGTATTGTATTGTATTATTTTCTCACTGTGCCTTAATTTGCCGTAAATTTCTGATTTTCAATGGGATGTTGTGACTACTGTAATCACAGTAGTCCGGATTGAGACCTTCAAGACGAGACAGAGCTTGACTTTGAAAGTTCTTGAATAGCACGTATATCGAGTTTGATGTGAATCTACCAAGATACTCCGTATCTTATTCTCTCAGTTAGTAAAACGATCTCATCGCATTTATCGCGGACAGGGAGTACAAATCAGAACAAATGACATATAGAATTTCGCTCTTATTTTCGCAGAGAACGTGGGACCACATGCGGCAGTAGAAAAGCCATTTTTATTAAGTGACGGTCGTGTCAGATTGGAAGCAGGGCTAGATCATTCAATCTACGAGCACGGAGACTCAATCAATGTCCACGTCAATGTTAGCAACAATAGCAGCAAATCAGTAAGGAGAATAAAGGTACATATTGGTTAAAGTACGTACTATTAAAGATATAATCCGTACTTGTTACTACATATCCACGCAAACACATTCATCTTCATTACGCTTCAGGGCGGGAATTTAATCAGAGTTATTCTAAATAACAAGAATTAAGTGTAATATGTGGCACATAAAATATATGTTCTAATATTTCAATTGATAAAATATGAGTGCATGACAAGAAATTCCATTTTATTTATTTAACAACTGTAATGTACAAAACATTCATTTTAATAACAACATACAAAATGATAAATGACAGTTCTTTATCAATAAACTTTATCATAATATACACACACATAAAGATGATCTCTCTATTACAGTTTGTTTTTCATTGCAAAATAATGCATATTATTGCTGTTTCATAAGATTAAGCGCTACAAAAAAATATTTTTTTTTTAATAAATACTACCTGATGTAGCTATAAATTTTTGGCTTTAGATAACGTGAGATAAAATTTGATATTACACGCTTGTGAAAGCGCAAACACCGGAAGAAAAGTCAGAAAATGGATTTTCCTGTCACTCTTTCAAAACAGTGCACTATTCCGCTTTAAACTTTAATTGATTAACTGCAAAAAATAAAAAAAAAACAATCTTTTTCCATCAAAGCAATATTGACATATGGAGGGGTAAAAACCACATTGGTGTAAGTCAAATTTTTAAAAATATTTTCTCGTGTGCATAGATGCACTTTATTTATTGTACAGATTGCATCTATGTACACGATAAAATATTCAAAAAAGTTTGACTTACACCACTATATAGTTTTTACCCCTCCATATATGAAAAAAAGAATTATTCACCTTACGAAGAATTTGTTCACAGGATTTTTCCCTGAATTTTTGCTGAAAACTAAATTTCTTGCAAATTACAGACTAATAGGCAATAGGTACTATGTATCAGCCCTCACTCTTAATTAAATCAGTTAGGACTTAATCAAAAAGCGTTTGCCTCTCCACAATGTGAGAGACTATTTGTCAGCGGCCTGTGATGACCTCACCGTTTTTCCAACAATCGAACAATTAATACAGTATTTTTCTTTCTTGTTTTTCCAAAGCGATCAATCGCAATCGTGCTCATGGGTTAAGTGGAAAATTGTACTCTCCACTTGTGGAACGTCAGCGGATTCCTGCACTCATGATTCGGTAGTTACCGCACGGCAGTCGATATTTCAAAGAACACCGGACGTGAATCCCGCCAATTGTTTCTTTTCCGACGCTCTTTGGAGACCAAATACTAAGATATTCATGACCCGAGGCGTCTACCGGTCTCTCTCCTTATCAGATACACATGCGCTTCGCATCCATTCATTCTTTTCATTTTTTTTTTTTTTTACCGCAATTTCTCATGCATGCAACGTCTGGTGCCGGAATGCAAAAGAGACCGCTCGTAAAAAAACTGATCCTCCTGCGTGACGAGAAGAAAAATAGGCTTAATCATCCGTAAAGGGATCAATCAGCGGTGTTTTTCTACGAGATTTCTACGAGCTCGGCAATAATCGCGAAAGAAATTTCGGACATGCAACGAAAATCACAAAATTGTCCTGGCGTCGCCCTATTTACCCTATTTAATCTAAAATTAAATCTGAAACGTGAAGTCGGGAAAATTGTCGAGATTAATCTAAGACATCTTAAATTGAACTTTTTAATTGCTTCATGCACGTGATGGGTTTTGCCACAAGCTTCAATGAAAATATCTTTAAAAAAAAATAAAATAACAAAATAATTTAATCTAATCTAAACAATCATATTTTGAGAGATCTCTGTGTATACTTTTCCATTTTTCTTTATTTTGTGTCGTTTTTTCTTCAAATTCTCATAAAAGTTATAAGCCTGTATCATTTCATTCCTTCGAACCTTCCGCGCTAGTTACATTAATTTGAAAACGTGTTTACAAATAATTTTAATTAATTAAATTAGAACAAAGCTAACAAGACAAATATTTTTGGTTTCACAAAGTCTCATTTATTAATTAGGGATATATCTAATGGTGCCACTCCCACTTTTCAAATTAACTATCACCTCTCTCGTTGGACTTCCGTAAATTTAATAAACTCGTTAGATCATTTATATCCCACGGGCTCAATGAAACTACCTTAGCATTTTAATAAAAGAACTGTTATATTCATGTATTCAAATTTAATAAGTAGCTTTTTATTAACGCTTTTCGAATAGGCCATCTAAAAAGGAGTGATCTTTCCAATAAGCAATAAGTTCTTGATAATTCAAAACAGTACTTTGTGACCGATAAATCATGCGCAAAATTCGGAAAAACTTGATTTTCCCTTTCTTTTAAAACAATATGTCCTTAAATATTATATAACGAGCATAGAATCAAATATTTTCAAGATGATATAAATATATTTATTACCATCAATCATATTAAGTAGCAATCCCTCGAATAACTATTTATTTTTGTAGTAATAATTTATTGAGCTTAAATACACTAAACAAAACATAAGATTAAATTGAATAATGCCAAACACTCGTACACTTTTTTCTCTCTGTTGCCAACCTTCTCGTTTTCTGTACCTCTTTCAATATCTAGCGGCTGTTACAATAAAGTGAATAATTGTCTCAGGAGAGTTAAACGTCTAGAATTAAACGCTACGCGATAATACAGTGCAGTTAATACCTGCGACGCAAAAGCTGCAAGGGAACGTTATTGATCAAAGAAACTTGATCTTTATAAACAGTGATATATCTCACACTTCGTGAACACTCTAGATCAAAGGCAAATCTCTCGCTCAATGAGAATATAAAGAGAAGCCATTAGTTAAAATAGCAATGAAAAAAGAGATATGGGCAATTCCACGTCAAATCGAACAAGAAATGATCTCGTATTTATTAAATCAATCGAAACTTTTTTCACGTAAGATATAATAAATTAAATAAGATTACAAATTTTTGTTTGTCCAAAATATTTCTTTTTGCAAAAGTTATAAGCAATACAATTTTTGTGAAAAATGAAGAAGTCGTCAACTTTAAAAATTAATATCTCTGGTTATATTTGTTGTATACAATTTCTCTATAGAGAAATCTTAAAAAATGCATTTTAAACTAAGGAGACAATCTTTTTATAAAAATAGTTTAAGTCACAAGAAATTGCAAATTTCAATTATTATAAGATGAAATATTTAATTATTTTTTTCACCAAAGAGTACACTTTAAAAATTTTTTTAAATAATACTGTTTTATTCTCCATCTCATTTTAAAACTATATATATTTTTATTTTATGGGGAAATAACAGATTATATTTTTTATATTTTTTTAATGATTGAAACGCCCACGCTGCGCCATGCTCGCGTCTCTGGCTCGAGCGCGGCGCATTTCTTCGGAAATCTTTTGCAGGAAGAATGTACAGTATGAATGGCATAGTTTATAATGTTATACAAATTACATTTTCATAAAAATTACATTTTTAAAATTGTGCAGTGTACTACTAACTACATGTTTACATTACTAAAATTGCTATTTTGTTGAGCTTTGCACAGAAGATGAAAAGGTAAAACAGCATGACAGACATGTTACAATTCATTCACGCGTGCAAAAATATACTGAAACTATAAACATAATCTACAAACAGCTGAGATCACTTACAGGCTTAAAGACGAAGAGGCTTACTCTACTATAAAAGAGCGCCGAAAGTCTAGACTTATAGGGATTTTCCGGTAAAGATTAGGACACAACACCCGTTACAGAAAATCCTAGCAATTAAGAACGGAAAGGAAAATTAATGGTCAAATTATACAGTACAGTAATGATTTATCTTACCAAAAATACAGCACAATTTTTAAAATGTATAATCTAATATTTATAACAAAAATGTGATTTGTAGAATGTTGATTGTATTCAACATTATAAATTATGTCATTTATACTGTACATTCTTCCAGCAAAAAATTTCCGAAGAAATCGATGCGCCGCACTACTTACAATTAGTTATGTATATTTAAAAAAAAAGTTTCTTGATCGATTTAAAAAATACAAGGTCATTTCTTGTCTGATTTGACGTGGAATTGCCCAGTAAATTGTTATTTTTGCCTTGGAAAATGGCAACCAATATTTTCTAATTTTTTTCAAGTATCGACCATATATGTTTTGTTAAAAAAAAACATTGCTATATTACTTTGAACTAATCAGATATCTATATAGGCACATATGTTTACTTTCATCAAAATATAATGCTCTTTATAATAAATATTTATAATAATGTTCTTTATTTAATTGATTGACAAAATTTTTGTCAAAAATTCAATAAAGAAACTAATGTGTAGGTAATGAATGAAAAAAGGAGTCAATAAGAAATTAAAGCAAAAAGAAATAAAAAATTTTCATACAAGCCTGCGTGAGTAAACCAGTTTATTGAATAAATAAACTGTACATTTTGTGTGCTTGCAAGGTAGAAACAAGAAACATCATGTTCCACATCTAATATTCTTACGTCATGACTACTTGATTACTTGGCCTCCTATGCTCGGTTGCATTTTCACCTACGCTAAATTACTAACGTGAATCGGTGATGGTCTACCACCAAGTGAAACTTTGTAAACAATATAATTTCTGAAAGGAGTAAATATTTGCATAGCAGTCGTGTTTTAGCATAATATTTACATGTCGATAATTACGCAAGACGAAAGTGTTGGAAATATATCGCGCGAATAAACATTGCACTCTTATGCAAATATCACACAATTCAAACGACGGTAACATTCCGAAAATGCGAGACCACGCTTTTATGAATTATATAAACAATGGACAAATTTTCCATTGCCTTTCAAGAAATCCGCTCTGGGTAGCGATCATGTAACTTTTTCCCTAGAGCGGAAACGTGAAAAGTGAAAAATTTCATGTAACTATTTCTTTCTATTGGTATTGAATAGAAAGAGATAAACTTTTCACTTTTCACGTTCCGTCCTAGGGGAAAAGATACATGATCGATCCCCTGATGATTGTTGTAGTAGGGAAAAAAATCGCGGAAAATAACTATTGCATGGAGCCATATGAAATTTCAGCAGCAATTGTTTTCAGCTTTTATCAGCTGATATGTTCCGAAGTATAAAAATGGTTTATATTTCTGCTGGAATATTTTATAACAGAAAATTTTTTCAAAACTTTTTACACGCGATATGTACACAAACTTGTTTTAATTATTCAATAAAAAATCCAGAAGAAGAGAATACTAAAGTCAAAAATATTTAACAATTCCCTGTGTAAGAGAATGTTGATTACTCGACAAATCCCCAGTATATGTATAACTTAGTCCAATTTCAGGACTTCATTTTCACGCTCCTCTCACGATCCCCTTGCGATCTAATAGGTGTCTGTAGTTCGCATCTTACTTAAGGCAAAATTAGCGAATCTAATCCAACTCCCTCGGTATACGACTATGTAAGTGTAACTTGTGTAATAAGACTATACGAATGGATATTAGAGACAAACAGAAACGTTCAAAATGTGCTTCTCCCCTTTATGCTCCACTATTATCCTAGTACGTTAATGTGTTTGAAAGGAAGAAAATGCAGAATATAGAGAGATTTGGATTAAAGAACAATTTAATTCTTATAGTGTCGACGTTTAAAAAAAAAGTCACACTTATTTTATCATTCGTACATAGATTTATTTCATTTTATCGTTTACAATATATTTACACTTATACAAGATTCTACATTTATATACAAAAAAATAAAAATAAATTAATATTTTTATATATAGCTCTAAAAAATGGATCGATAAACACACAGCTAATACAAATCTGTTTCTTTAATATCCCCCTTTATATTTTACTAATGGAAAACACACAGTCACGAAAATCCATAATAGTTATAGTATATACGGAATGAATTAATTTTGAATAGATTCTGTGTATAGTTGACAAACCGCTCACCGCTAATCGAGGCTTAAGAGGAAAGCCTGTCAGGAAAGCGGAGGCTTAAATAGCTGAAATAGCGATCGTTGGCCCAGAATATTGATTAATTCAAAACGTCGATTTCAAAGGAGAACTACCGCATTCCTGTATGTCAGTCTAAGCGTGTGTATTAACAGGCAATTAAAACAGAAGACATTAGTAATATATCTATGTACTATAACATGTGCAAAGCTAATTTAGAAATTTAGCAAGAAATAGTACAGATGACAAGCGTGTGCTAAAATACTACAGGTCGATACCCGATGAACTATACGCGTAAAAATTGCTGTCACCTTAAAATATGTTTTAATCATCGATATCCGCCGAGCCTTCTATATCCCTATAATTTAAATTCTCGCAAAAATCGCTCTTTTTACAAAGATTTGTGCTACAGCTGCAGACACAAGTCTGAGAAGCGTCCCATAACTGCGGTTACACGCATCTGTCTGCTCACTCAAGAATTCATATAGCATTCTATCCGATGTCCAATTAAATATTCTATACATGGGTGAGTAAGTCAATAAGCGTCGTCAACTAGATGAAATAGCTGAGAAGTTAAAAAGAAAATTATAAGTTAACTTCTTTGGAAAAATTTTGGGATTTCGCGAATGGCTAATTTTCTTCCTCTCAAAAAACGTTAAAAGAACAGCAAAATAGATTAAATAAAGATTCTATTAAATCGATTCTTTAACGTATCTTGCCACATCATGAAGAAAAGACAATAACATTATACAAACGACGCAACGGCGATTTTCCCGACGACGGACAGGAATCTACAGGAGCCATTTCCCCACTCAAAGCTATTTGCAAAACCACGAGGAGGAACGTCGAAACTATAATTCAATTTGTTTCGCACACATGCAAGGAGCAAAAGACAAAGAGACGACGACACTGAATTGGATCCGTCTGCGATAATCCGCGTTAATCTGTCCGACATTCCCTTCTTATGAGAACGCTTGCGATACAAATAGAAATCTCCCCCCTTCTCAAGGAGAAAGCAACCCGGGGAAACGCCAAAGGTTACGCCCTGACAGGAAATTGCGTTCGCATCAGGCGCTTTTGAGCTCTACTTCATTAACAGCAATGGAGAACGTTGTTTGAAAATAGGAACACGGTACACCCTGCCGATATTCTGCCCACCGACCAGAAAGGACGGTCGCAACCCCCATGTTAACTTTGTTCCAAAACAGTTAAGCAAACAAACCGACACTCCTTGACCACCAGTAAGTTATACGAATTACATTTCGTAGTCAAATTTAAGTTCGTGGCCGACATATGGACACAACAGACGTCACTGAATAACAATTGACTTTAATAGATGATAATGTATTAATCCGATCGACAAAAATGATCGAGAAGAGGGGTCGCTAAAACAGGAATAATCCTTTTGACATGTTGTTTTAAAGTTTCTGCTCACCAATTTCACGAAGCCCCTCCAAAACCTTTACCTTACATACATGTAATTTTACAAAATTAACTCTTTTTAGAGATATTTTTGCTACAATCAGCGACAAGATGCTGCAATCTTTTCAGGAGAAATCTTTTTAATTAAATTTTACATGTCTCTACTGCTTATTTTGAAATATAAAGAAAAAAATTAACTGGCTTTTCTATAAAATACTTTTTTTTTTAATAAATCGCCTACCTTTATGAATTTATGTATAATAACATAACTATATCATAAAGTATATTTCAATTATTGTTTTAAAAATAAATCAGATCGAATAAACCACGATTGTTCACAATTATAGATAATAATTTAAAAATCACTCCTTTATCCATATTATGTGAGGAAATGTTTGCTTTCCAGGTATTTGTCGTGCAACACGTGGACGTTTGTATGTTCAGCAACGGCAAATTCAAGAATGTCGTGGCCCTTATGTCCTCGCAAGAGGACTGTCCCCTGGGGCCAGGCGGTAATTTGAGGAAGACTTACACTCTCAGGCTTGTTAAGGGCACGACTAAGAACTGGATTGCCTTAGAGGACAGTTACACGAAAACCGGAGCGAGTCTGGCATCGACGGTTACTAACCCTAGGAACAAACCTGATGATAGGAACGTTTATACGATTTACGTATCTTATTACGTGAAGGTACTCTTAAATATGAGAAAAAGGGATATGTAATGAAGATCGCCTATTTTAGAATCGCATCAAACGCGATCTTATTTTAGGAGATAAAGCAATCTTTAGAAACCTGAACCAAGCATTGCAGAAAAAGTATGAAATCTCATATGAGAACAAATTCTGATAAAAAATTGATTAGGTATATGACATATTAGATGCTCCCATTTCGGATAAAAATGATTCTTGACAGCACGTATTCTCATATTTAACGCAATACTATTTTAAGAAAAAGATAAAACATTTTTTTCGTCGATTCATCTCCATTTAATTTAAGCAAATTGACTCACGTTCTGTAATTATCAATCCAAATAATATGTAATACGCGGCTATAAGGTAACGTAAAAAAATATTTCATGAAGATGCCCCAATTTCTTGTTTTCTTTTTAAGGTCAAGCTGTTTATTTCGGCGATGGGCGGTGAAGTATCGTTGAAGCTGCCTTTCACGCTTATGCACAGTAACACGGATCCGGACCTCGTGGGATTCCCATCCCCTATCAAAGAAGCACCGATGGAACTTGGAAAGAGCACGGAGAAATCCGACAGCAGTAGTAGTCGCCGAAATGAGGAAAACAAGCTTGAGGCCATTAAGGAACAAGAATCAACGGTGACCGACGTGGACCTAATAGAACACTGCGAGGAGAGCGACAGCACCTGAGAGCGGGCGCAACGAGACGACGCGATGTCGCGGCAGTATGTTAGAAAAAACAGCGATATGAAACCCATCAAGAATTCGAATCACAAGACCTGCAGACTCGGCATCAGCATTCAACGAGCTTGGTGCTGCTTCAGAAGAGCCTCTTAGTAAACGAATAAATGGAAATCTCGTAGCATCAGATGACGATTGACTGATAGCGTCTTGCTTGAACCATTGTTGTGATTTCTCTCATTTTCTCATAAGAAAATCAATGCAACAATTGCATGAAAAAAAA